TGCTCACCAAAAGCCAACTTATTAATTAACGGAACTACCTCTTCACCTATTGATTTGTATCGCGGAACACGACAAGGGTGCCCGCTTTCGCCCTTGCTTTTTATTTTAGCAATTGAACCACTGGCTATTGCCCTTAGAACTAACCCCAAATATCAGGAATAACTATAAACAATATGGAGTTAAAAACAAGTTTATTTGCAGATGATATTCTTATTTATATTACTAATCCTCTTATATCGTTAACAGCAATTACCCAAGAATTAACAAAATTTGGGAAAATATCTGGACTAAGAATCAATCATACTAAAACAATAATATATCCTATAAATTTAACGCAAAATTTAACTACCCAAATACATAATTCTTATAAATTTCAATGGACAACCACAACGCTGCCTTATTTAGGAATAAATATCCCTCTAAACATGAATGACCTTTTTAAAGTAAATTACTTAGAACTTCACAAACGAATTAAACACCAGATTTTACAATGGAACAATCTTTTGTTTTCTTGGAGTGATCGTATTATTGTAATAAGAACTTATATCTTATCTAAATACTTATACCTATTTAGAACAATACCAATTTATATAAACAAACAACAACTAAACAAATGGCAAACAGATATTAACCGCTTTTTATGGAAATTTAAAGCCCTACATATCAAACATGTTACTTTACGGGCATCTAAGAAAAAAGGTGGTTTAGCTTTGCCGGACTTACATTTTTATTATGCTGCGTCAAATATTGCAAATATTATAAAATTATACCACACAGCAGCAATCCCACAATGGAGTAAAATAGAACATCAAAACTATACTAATACTTTTATTAGAGAATTAATGTGGTTTGCCGGACTTACATTTGTATTATGCTGCTTCAAATATTGCAAATATAATAAAATTATATCACACGGCAGCAACCCCACAGTGGAGTAAAATAGAACATCATAACTTCACTAATACTTTTATTAGAGAATTAATGTGGTATCATAGCAGTAAAGAAGCCCTTAACAAACTTTTTAATCCATTTTTAAAAACCAATATTAAACTATGGTTTCAATTTAAAACAAATCTTTCTTCTATATACTCTAAAGTGAGCACTTTTACCGGACAAAACTGGTTTTTACCTGCATAAGAGACAAATACTTACCCAACCTGGAAAGAAAAGAATATCACAAGGATAGTTGATGTCATCCAATATGGAAGAATACTTTCGAAACTTGATCTGGAAAGGAAACACAAATTTAAAGTCAGATGGTTTGAATATCTACAAATTCAAAATTTAATAAACACCACAAAATTCAAACAATCTATAACAGAACCAACAACAAAATTTGAATCTTTATTATTACAACCATTCAAGAAAAAAGGACTAATAGCAAAAATTTATCAACAACTGTTAGATTCAAAGACCCCCAAGACACCTACTTACCAGACTGCGTGGCACAAAGATTTACAGCAAGAACTATCTGAAGACCATTGGAACGAGATTTGGAAAACACAACATGCGATTTCTAAATCTTTACCTATACAAGAAACATCAATCAAAGTTTTACATAGATGGCACTTAACTCCTGCCAAATTAGCTTATATGCATTCTAATATTTCTCCCACATGCTGGAAATTATGCGGAAATAAAGCAAACTATATACATAACTGGTGGGCATGTCCTAAAGTTCAACAATTCTGGCTACAAATAATTGATATAATTAAATCATTAACAGGACATGAAATACCTATGGACCCAAATTTGATCTTATTAAATTTGTGGCCACCAGACAATTTCTCAAAAAACACTCAACAATTGATAAACGTTATGATCACAGCAGCTAAAGTATTATTAGCTAAAAAGTGGAAATGCCAAAATATGCCTTCAATAGAGCAATGGACACACAAGCTATGGGATTTTTTCTTACTTGAAAAATTTTCAATATATAACACGCCTTTTCAAACCGAATGTGAGATATACAACCCATTAGAAAAGTGGGCTCCTATTTTAGAAAAAGTTATTATTGACAAATTTGATTGGGAAACAATTTCTAAAGTTAAATATCAGATTATGTTATATGGACAGTAATGTTATTTTAACAGGTTAATGCTTTATATAGAAAAGTTTGCTATTGTGAATATGTAATGTTTTATTAGTTAAATTTGTTGATGTTGTTAGAAAGGAACCTAATTATATTTTCTTTCTTTTTGTACGTTCTCTTCTACCTTGTACCTTCTGTATATTTATCTAATAAACAAACACTATTGGTTTAAAAAAAGAAGAAGAAGATATCATAAGAATCCATAGGATAATAAAAGAGAAATGCTTAGAATGAATATAAAGATCCCTACAAATAGGTATTCTAGCAACTGAATTAATGGTTCCTTCATGCAAAACGTTGTTTCCAGTATGATAAATCATGCTGGCCAACATTTAGTTCCCAACAATGAAGTACTTGACTCAGGGGTCATTTCGTAGAAAAAGAGCTAGGGGAACTCATTAGCATAACTCATTAGCATATGCCACACCCCCTGACATCAGGGGCCCGGCGGTGGACCTGCAAGGCCAGCGGGAGTGTGAGGAAGCCCCGCCAAGGCCCTTCCTGGCCCCAGGCAGGCAGGGGTGAGGAGAGGCGGGGAGGAAGCAACTTACCCTCCCTCTTCTCCTGCCTCCTCCTGGCTGAATGAGGGCTGGAAGCGGGGTGGCCGGAAGCAGGGGTTGGGGCTTCGTCATGTGCCCCGCCCCCATGCACCTCACCCGGGGGAACTGTGTTCCCCCGCGATCCCCCCCGAAATGACCTCTGACTTGACGTCTATCATTTTTGTCAGAGAGGGTGAATCAACAGAACACCTAAATTTCTGGTCTTGCATAAACATTCTGTAGAGATTTAGGTAAGTCATGGTTCCTAGAGAAGGAAGAGTATGGTGAAGGCAAAGCCCGATTCATTTATTTACCCCAGACACCTAAAGTCAGATGTGCTTCAAATGTTCCTACATATGTTTAATCTGATTCCGTGTGGGGACTTCCCCTCACATGGAGAGCAGTAAGCTCTCATAGTAAAGGGGACAGTCCAGATAATGCTGTGCTCAGTTCAAGCACTGCTCATCCAGGTACCAGCCCCTTTACTCTGGAGAAAATATAAATCTACTTTTCTTCAAAGTAAAGGATAAACTGCAGGGTGGTTGTGAGTGGAATGTCCATCTGAGCACTCTCTGGTAGCCATCCCAGGGAGGAGGGCAGAGCTAAGCGCCACCTTCAGAATGGCAGAGCTAATTTACTCCTTGCCCACTTTCAGCTTTTTAAAGGGTTCTTTTCGTTTCTTTGCTGAGCCACACTAAAATCTTATGGTGCAGCTAAAAAAAGAAAAAAAGGGGGGGGAGGTTCCTTTAAAGGGCCAAAAAGGGATGTTGTTTGCTGGGTGGGAGCCTCTGCACAATGTGAAGACATGGCAGGAAGCAACATGAAGTGGGGTGTGACATCAGAGCAAATGGTATGGGAACAGGTCATATGGACACCGTTCCCACCTGCTCTCATGTTGCTTGCTGCTGCTGCTTCTGCCACAGTGGGGGAACACTTCACACACCTGTCTGGAAGCAGTCAGAGTATAAAACATTAGCAAAGCTTTATATAGTTTTCTATAAACAGCATGATAAAAAGTAGAGACATCACCCTGCCAACAAAAGTCCGCATGGTCAAAGCAATGGTATTCCCAGTAGTCATGTATGGCTGTGAGAGTTGGACTATAAGGAAGGCCGAGCACCGAAGAATAGATTCTTTTGAACTATGGTGCTGGAGGAGACTCTTGAGAGTCCCTTGGACTGCAAGAAGATCAAATCAGTCAATCCTAAAAGAAATCAACCCTGACTGTTCCCTGGAAGGCCAGATAATGAAACTGAAGCTCAAATCCTTTGGCCACCAAATGAGAAGGGAGCACTCACTGGAGAAGACCCTGATGCTGGGAAAGATTGAAGGTCAAAGAAGACGGGGACGGCAAAGGATGAGATGGTTGGACAGTGTCATGGATGCAACAAACATGAAATTGAGCAAACTTCAGAGGACAGCAGAAGACCGGAAGGCCTGGCGTGATCTGGTCCATGGGGTCGCAAAGAGTTGGACTCGACTGCGACTGAACAACAACAACATATAGTTTTCTAAGTTTTCAGTTTTATAGTAGAGTATACATAATTCAAGGCAAGCATGTTTACTTTCACTCCCTGAGCCGCTTTCTCTGGGTGCTCTGGAATCTTAGCCAATACTGCCCTCCGCTGTCTGCTGTGTGCTTTCAGAAGAATATACATTGCAATTAGGAGGGTTTTAAGAACTGAAAGCTCATCTTAAAAACCTTCATGCAGCTCATCATCAATGTCTCCTAATTTTTTCCCTTACTGAGTGGAGCAGTTCACATCCTGAGCAGAATATAACTGCTGTAATCTTAAAATGGGCAATGGGCAGTGCAAGTTTGCTGCTGAGCGGGGCTTCCTGTGTTAAGGAACGGCTGCTTATGCCCACAGCTTAGAGGGAACACTGTTCATCATGGGCTGGTTCATCACATGATAACTACTTGAACCAGTGAGTAAGTGAATGAACCATCACCAAAGACCAAAGATAGAGTCATATCACACCAAGTGCTATGGTGCATTAAGTCTCTGCGGCTGGAGACAGATGATCTTTTTTAAAGACAGTTGGAGCTGGTATGATAGAGACATCAGGGTCCACAATATACATGCACAGGTGCTCTGATGTTTTGGGAAGAGATGACAGAGGGTCAAAAGAAATGAGTGTCAATACACACACATTTGTGTGAACAAATGAACAGGAACACAAATGGCTCTAACATAAGACATTTAGCTCTGAGAAATGATCGTCTGCCTCCCACCAGAATAAGACCTCACTCTTCTGAAAATGTCTTAGCTTTCTCTGCGTGACAGTTGGTTCTAGTCTCCATCCATTGTATTGCAACAGCTCTTCTTGTGTCAAAATAACTGGATTCCATTTTTCCCCACTCTCAGCAGGGTTCCCAGACTTATGGAGGAGGCTACAGCAGTAACGATTGCAGTGTTGTAAGTGATCTTTCTGTAACCTGTTTTTTACATTGGTATGGCATGTACTAGTCCTCACCAGATATTACCCTTCCACTTATTTCTGAGATATGGGTTGGTTATTATGGAAAATTTCCATGTGTGCAACAGTGCTTGGCTTGCACAAATGGACCTTGAATTGCTCAGATTGCTACTAGTTGTCTGCTTGCTCTAAGTGAAAGTGATTCTATCCCTGCTTTCTTTTCTGTTTGTGCATGGCATAGCAAAAAGTATTTCTTCTGACCCAATTTAAAGAGCAAAATAGACAAAATTATGTGAACCATCTATTGCACATTCCATTGCTCCATGTGCACATTATTTCATTAAAATTATATTGAAGTGCTATGTGTTGCTCCAGACCTTGTGCTATTGCTTGTGCAAGTGGAGCCACACTAAATGTTCACACATCACTGGGTCCAACCCATGATTTCTGTCATGGTGGTGTGCTTCTGGAGTGGTGTGGGAGCCAGTACGGTGCAGTGGTTAGAGTGTTGGACTAGGATCCAGAAGACCCAAGTATGACTTTCTACTCTGCCATGGAAGCTTCCTGGGTGACTTTGGCTCAGTCTTAGCCTAATCTACCTTACAGGGTTGTTGGAAAGATACAATAGAGGAAAAGAGCACAATCTACATCGCTTTGGGTGTCCATTGGGGAGAAAGATGGGGTTTAAATTAAGTAAATAAATAAATAAATAAAGGGAGCCAGTTTGGCGTAGAGAGCCAGTTTGGTGTAGTACTTAGGAGTGGCAGACTCTGATCTGGAGAACCAAGTCTGATTCCCCATTCCTCCACATGAAGCCAGTCACAGTTCTCTCAGAGCTCTCTCAGCCCCACCTACTTCACAGGGTGTCTGTTGTGGGGAGAGAGAGGGAAGGAGATTGCAAGCCACTCTGAGACTCCTTCAGGTAGTGGAAAGCAGGGTATAAAAACCAACTCCCCTTCTTCTAAATAAATACTGTCCTTGTGGACTAGTATCACAGTTTATTCAAGGATTTGTCTTTTTTAAAAGGTCAATGTGACGACCTCTTATCTGGGGAGATCTAGTTTTACTTTAAAAGTTCTTATGGTTTATTTTTCTTTGGGTATTCTGGCTGCCACCAGGAATTTTAATAAATTCCAATTCTTCTCTTTGCTTCTGCGGTTGGTATTGTAGCACGGTGTCTAGGCCTTTCGAGGAACTATGTGGTCTGAGGAAGGATTCTTTACTTAGCTGGTAAACTTGAAGTAAATAGGATTTATTTAACGAAAGTATAAACACGAGGGTGAACAATGTAAACAGTACTGGGAATGATTTGAACCATGGCTTGGTGTCTCTCACAAGCCTCTCTCCACTGACAGGGATATTTCATAGGCAACTTTGTAACACTTTTCACTTGTTTGTGTGTCTGTTTGTTTGTTTCCCCCCAGGGTGATGCCAAAAGTTACGGTGAAAAAGCTCTGGTAAATAATATTTTTGAAGTAGCATTCTAGGCAGCTTATTAGTTGCAATTGTACATATTGTAGACCCAGTTAGTCAGAAGATAATGACTATTTCCCAGATTTGAGCATTGTGGTCATCATTTATGTCAGGGGTAGCTGATGAATGCAGTAATTCATACACTGATATTGGGTTGTTTCAATGCTGTGATCTTTCATAGAACCCAGAAATACCTTTATGGGTCTGCAGACAACACTACTGAAGTGGAAAAGTATGGAGCTGTTACTTGAAATTGGTTCAAGTGACAGTCACTTATGGCTCAGTCAGGAGCCACATGTGTCTGTCTGAGATTCCACCTGTCGCTCTTCTGACCACCATTCTCCAGTGTCGCACTCACCACATGTTTCAGGAAAGTGGTCAAGAGCATTGCCCAGCTTATAGTTGGCAGGTGGTTCCCATCTGAAATCAGCTGCCACTGGGAGACGTCACGTGAGCATTCCAGAGCTTCAGGTCTCATGCCAGAGATGGGAATGAAGAGCTAGCCATCTCCAGCAGCTCTTCTCGGCAGCTTCTGTGCTCTCACCTCAGCTAGGGTTACCAAACCACCAAGTGGGACCAGGAGATCTCTCCGAACTATGGCTGATCTCCAGGCTACAGAGATCTGCTCCCCTGGAGAACACAGCTGCTCTGGAGGATAGACTCTATGGAATTATGACCCACAGAAGTCCCTCCTCTCCATAAACCCTGCCTTCCCCAGGCTCTAACCCCAAATTTCCAGAAATTTCCCAGCCCAGAGTTGACAATGCTAATCTCAGCACTAGAGTGTCTTTTAACATAGGTAGCATTTATTTTTAACATTTCATCTGATAAAGAATTCTGGAGAACATGAAAGCTTGTGCACTGTTTTGTCTCATAATCCGGACTTGTAAGGCCTTTCCCTCATTACATGTAGAATCATATGGCACAATGCAGGAAATTCACAAATATCTCCCCTCCCCCCCACACCCCCAGTGACCCTTGCTCCATGCCCAGAATCTGGCAAAAAAAAATCCTCCAGGATCCCTGTCCAAACTGGCTTGGAGAAAAAATTTCCTGGCGCCACAGTTGCGATCAGCATTTTCCTGGGTGTCACAAGAACTAAGCTCTGAGGCAACCCTTCCTGCCCTCCCTCTCTTGATCTTCCTAAGTTCACAGAATCCGCATTGCTGTCAGATGGCCATCTAACCTCTGCTTAAAAACCTCCAGAGAGCCCACCACCTCCCAAGGAAGCCTGTTCCACTGAGGAACCACTCTAACTGTCAGGAAGTTCTTCCTAATGTTTAGCTGAAAACTCTTGTGATTTAATTTCAACCTATTGGTTCCGGTTCTGGTTCAACCTTCTCGGGCAAAAGAAAACAACTCCACACCATCCTCTGTATGACAGCCCTTCAAGTACTTGAAGATGGTTATCATATCACCTCTCAGTCATCTCCTCTCCAGGCTAAACATACCCAGCTCCTTCAACCTTTTCTTATAGGACTTGGTCTCCAGACCCATCACCATCTTCATTTCCCTCCTCTAGACATGTTTCAGCTTGTTTATATCCTTCTTAAATTGTGGTGCCCAAAACGCAACACAATACTCTAGGTGAGGTCCAACCAGAGCAGAGTAAAGTGATACCATCACTTCATGTACAGTAGCCTACTGGGGACTTGATAAACCTGTGTTTGTCACTGACCTGGGACTGCAAAATGAAAGAGAGGCATTATCATGCACGCAGCTATTGGGCTGGGTATGGCTTGCTGGGGCACAAGTTATGATATAGGGCTGCCAGGCCAAGTCTGAAAGCTATTGGAGGGTTGAGGGTGAAGATATGTAGAGCATGACATTTTCTACCTCACTACATCTTCCAGTATGCCTCCTGAAGAGCTTTGTGATCAGGAGATCAAAACTATTTGTGATCCCTGGCCCAAAAGACATCTGGCTGTTCTCATCTAGGGCCAGGGCTTTTTTGGCCCTGGCCCTGGCCTGGTGGGACTCTCTACCTAGTAACATCCATGCCCTTCAGGACCTTGCTCAGTTCCACAGGGTGTGTAAAATGGAGATGTTCCACCAGGCCTATGGATGAGGCAAGTGATGGTTCCTGCCATGGCCTCCAGCTTGGCCTTACCAGCCCTAGTCTGTGATCCACCTTATAGTGGGAGTGAAGTTATACATGCACTATTGATTATCCAGAGGATGTATACTTGGTTTTTTTTCATTTATCGTTTTCTATTTATTGTTTTTAACGTGTTTATGTCTGATTATGATGTACACTGCCCTGAGTCCTTCAGGGAGGGGTAGTTTATAAATTTAATGAATAATAATATAACAATAACAACTACTTCTGGATAAAACCATGGAGTTTCCAGTGATTACTTGAGCTATCTGATGTCATTTCTGGATTTTTCCTAGAAGTGACATAGTGATGCAGCTGATGTTGCCTTGTTTTTTTGTTTTAGTTTTTTAAATTCTCCTGCTGTCTCTCAGAATAGTGTCAGGCAACTAGGGCAGCTCTAGCTATCAAGGCCCCATGCAAAATTTAGAAGAAGAAAAATCTGTTTTCATTACATTTCCTTCATTCCACTTGTATTATCTTAACAGAGCTCATCAAACTGTAGAGGCAAAAGGGCTGCTGACGCTCAAGTAAGTACTCTCTCTGTTGCCGCATGTAAGATTAACCCCAGATATGCTCCTGAGAGCACTTTTATACCAAGAGGAGCATGGTTTAGTATTTGTTAATTTTGGTTTATGCTTTTTTTTCCTGTTTACAGGCTGCAGCTAAAGATTTCATCACAAAGATTCAACAAGTAAGAGATGCCTCCCACTATATCCTCAGTAGTGATCTTGAGTGGCAGTGATGCTACCAGTGTTTTTGGTGCTGGTATCTGTTCTCGTGCTCTCTTTAAAATGTAAACGTGAAGTGCTTAGACATCACCAGGCTACTGAACGTTTTTGCAAACCATTAACCTGTTGCTGTTCCTGCCTCAAGTGTATCCCTTTGTGACCCCCTCCCAAACAAGCACCAGAAAGCATCTGTCTACCCGAGCTTCTCCATTCTTGGGGCCCCTTTTCCAGCCCACAATTTGGAAACATTTCCACACCCTCCCCAGTTACCCCTGTGTCACAGAGTGCCAGGTGTGCCATGTCCATGTCCAGAGGAGTGCAAACTCCCAACACTTGCCCTCCTCCATGCACTCTAGTATGTTGCCACCGGAGAAAAGAATAGCAACCAGTGGGAGGAAGAAGAGGCCCACTCCCTCTCAGCAGGAGGGGGAGCAGGAGACTCCCCCAAGAAAGGCTTCCTGCACTCAGAGTGCCATGGGTGGGGCATCAAGGCAGGCCACCCCCCAAGAGGTCATTCCCTTGGGGACACCAACAGTGCCATCTAGAAAGACTACATGGAGGGCCAGGAAGCAGTCACTCGCCTTGTCAGCAAGATGATGGCTGCGGCTGGCCAACTGTTTTCCCTTGTGTTGGACATAGCCTTTCACTGGCTGCTGCAACACCTGGTTCCCTGGTACTCCATCCCCTCACGGAGGACCATGAGCCAACATGCACCACTCTGCAGTGGCAATGGTGAAGGCTCAGCTCTCCAGAGCGCAAGGCAGAACCATGCATTTCATAGCAGGCCTCTGGAGCAGCCCACAGCATGGTTACCTCTCCCTCACCATTCATGGGTGGCAACCAGAGGACCTCTCTGTCCAGAATGTCAGTGCATGTCCCAGGCCCCAGGAGGGGACAGTACTGCTACTGGACTACCAAGTGGTTCTGTTCCATGTGCAGTTCCATGTGCAGAGGATGAATGCAGACTGCATGGCACAAAATATTGCCACTGTGATATAGAGTAGCCTGAAAGAAAGGGTGGGCAGCAGCAACATCCTCCATGGCTACATGTTTGCCTTGCTTCCGGTGTCTGGCTGGGGGGGGGGTATCTGTCCAGGTGAAGTTTCTCTGGGAGTTTGGTGTCACTGGCTTTTTGAGCTGTTCCATAAATCATATAACTGTACCTGTCTTTTCCAGAGAGAGCATTGGGGAGACATTTTGGGGGGTTCCTGAGCTGTTCCATAAACTCCTGTAACTGCACCTGTATTTTCCAGAGAGAGCACTGGGGAGACATTTTGGGGGGATCCATAACTGGGACCCCAGAAATGTAATCTGTCCTCAACTTGAAGAGATTGTAGAGGAGCAGCTGGCAGGGTGAGGTTCCCTGTGTGTTTGGTGTGTGTAGCTAGCAGGGGGTCCATTCTATACACTTTTGAACCTGTGCTGGACAGTTTTCCTGTGGACATCTTCTTTGAGGGGGCCATAACTTGGACCCTCAAAGTTCAATCTGCACATAACTTGGAGGACATGTAGAGAATCATCAGAGGGAGGTCCCTTGCAAGTTTGATGCCTCTAGCTTGTACAGTGTCCATTCTATACACTTCTGAACCTGCACCTGTCATTTCCCCAGAAAGCGCTCTCCTTGGGGCACCTTCTGCGGGGGGCTGTAACGTGGACCCCCTAAATCCAATCCCCATCAACCTTGGAGGGCAGGTAATGGAGAGTCAGCCAGAAATCCCCTGAAAGTTTGGTATCTCTAGCATACCAGGGGGCATTCTACCCTATCACAAACCTCACAAACCAAACCAATTCGTTTCGCCCCTAAAAGTTAATGATGGTTCAAGGTTCGTGAACTGGGCATCCTACGAATCATGAACTGAACCACATTTTCCCAGTTTGTGCCCATCCCTACTTGTGTGATTTATTAACTCAGCTCCAGCCACCCATAATACTGTGTGTGCTTTATTAAGGCAGTATTTCTAATTATAATTTTCTTGCATTTGACACATTTATGGGTCACATTTATATCTCACCCCTACTTCAAGAAGTTCATGCTACTTCCAAAGGATTATCTAGTTCAGAAATGGCCACATCAGGGGGCATTTCTGGTCCCTCGGCCTACCAAATTTTCATTTGGTACAATAAAATGGTAGTTTAATATTATCCCCCTTTGTATACATTGCCTTTAAAAAATACAAAAGTAACATTCGGATGAGATGCTGTATCTGAGTACATGTGCTCCAAAGCAGGGAAGGTTTTATCAATACATGGCACCAATTTTAACACTCATGAATAGGTGAGTTAATGAAGCATAATCCCAACAACCATCTGAGGTTATGTATGTGGGAGAAGTTCATTGCTGTGTAGGAATTTCAGCCTTGTGCTTTAGGTTTGAAATGGGGTGCGAATCTGTGCATATTTTCATAGCAGGAAAGACACTGCTGTACTGTGCCATCCTTGCTGATGCGGAGCTTATATGGCCTCTTTTGGGGGGAATCTCTGACAAGGGTAGTCTCCTGCTCCCCTTCAAACTCCCTCACTGAATTCTCAAGCTCAACTGCCCTGTTAGAAGCCCCTGTTCAAAAGCCCTGGATGCAAGCCCTGAGGAAACCTGTATGCCTTTTCATGGAGTTTGACCTCTAATGGATTCTGACATTTGTGAGCTGTGGTTCCACCCCCTGAAGTTACAGAAGTCAGTTGACTCACTTTAGTCAGTAGAAACCCCTCCCAGCCAGACCATGTCCTGAATATGCACCAGAAGCTAGATGTTTTTCAGACAAACACACCTCAAACAGCTGAAGAGTCACATGAGCTCAAGCACATAGACACACACACTCACCACATTTCGCAGCAGTTCCAAACTCAGTTCTCCTGTTAGAACCCTCCGTTCAAAAGGACTAGATGCAAATCCTGGAACACCATTAATAAAAACTCTTCTGAAGTAAAGCAAAATGAAAACATTTGCACATCAGATAATCATTGCCAGATCAGGGCAGTGCTGGGCTTTTCCCATCCAAAATGGTAGATGAGTGATGAAGTTAAATGATTGTTTTCCACCACCAAAGAAAAGGAATATTCCATGCAAGCAGAACTCACAAACATTCTCATTAAACATATAATAGATCAAAGTTATTTATTCATTAGTTACCATAATCAGTATTTAGTGTCCTCTACTTTTTTTTCACAGGCTGCATCTCGTGCTCTAATACGAAAGACTCGTAGTGAAAAAGTAAGCACTGCCCAATCGTGATAGTTATTGGTTCTGTATTGCTCCTATTTGAATGGCACAATGTACCAGAAATGAAGCACACCCCAGTTCCCACTGAAGATTGAATTGCCATTAATTTTAATGAAACTTGAATTTTACCCGCAGCCCTATCCCAAAACCCCTTGATACTGTTACTTGTTGTGATAAGTACTGCTTTATAGAGCAAGCATAAAGGTATTAATACTTAGCATGAGTACAGTTAATACTTGGTGCACTTTACTTTTTCACAGGCGGCATCTCGTGCTCTAGTACGAAAGGCACGAAGTGAAAAGGTAAGCATTACCCATGCATGTTTTCTTGGCTTTTGATACTAAGTGGCTGTGACATTGCTGACATTTTATTTGAGTCCCCCTTGAAACCTTTCTTGAAAGAAAAACACCCAACTTTATGATGACAGTTTACTGCAAAGAGTCAGACCACATAGTCCTTTGCCTGTGATGGCTGTCTTCTTCCTGTATACTGGGTAGCTGCTTTGGTAATAGTGAATGGATTATCTAACTCCCTCATAAGCAAAAGTTGTGATCCTGCCTGGTATTGCAATTTCCTCATTGTGTATTGAGCAGTAGTACATAATGTTTTGTCTTTTCCTTATAACAAATAAGTCACCTGGCATCTTTGTAGCTGGATGGCACAGCCATCCAAACACAGGACTAACCAGGGCCAATGTTACACAACACAGGGAATTGAACTTAGAAAATGTACATGGAATGGGGCACCTGTATTTCTCTCAAAGGACACACCTTGAAAAGACTGAAGGGGAAGAGTGTGTGTCTAAGGTGGTTCTTATACTGTTGGGTTTTTATAAACCATCTCCCCCATCTCTGGAGTTGTCTAAGGGCAGCAGTTTCTGATTTGCATCAGTCTCTGTCGGATGCATCCTTCCCCATTGTTTGCCAGATGGCGCACAGGTTGGCAACCGCCTCACCGTGCCTGTTACACTGGAATCCCTTCTCTATAATTGCCAGACTATTTGGTAGTGGTTAATCTAAATACATTTGCAGTCTTTTTCCAGCATTTTCCACTGCAGATACAAAGCTTCATTTTATGGTTATTGGTCCAAATGTCTGAGCTGGCTGAGGCAGTTCTCACTGCACTATCCCACAGTGGAATCTGCCAATCCCTTTTGTTTTTGTTTTGTTTCACTATCACTGCAAGAAGGTTGTAGAAGCTGCTCCAATAAATCCCTCCTCTCTCAGTTTCCTGCACCAAGTTATGTATAAAAAGTAGCTGGATGGTATGGAGAGAATTCTGATCCCCCTCCCCCAGCTCTGCCTGCTCCCCATCCCACCTTTCAGCACTGGAATAAAAATTTATGCAGGCACATGTGATGGAACCCCCAATCGGCCATGTCTTTCTACAGTACCCATAGGAAAAGATGGTGATCAGACATTTCATACCAGGGGAAGCTCATTCAGATTATGAGTCATTATTACATTTGCACAGCAGTTTTTTGAGGAGAGTGTTAGATCGCCGCTAACAAAGGACAGGAGAGTGATTTCAGCAAGTGATTCAGCTTTACTGAAGTAACGAACAAGCACTTAAACGCATTCATAACCAGAACAACTTAACATTGGGAGCTAGGCTCCTTTTAAACACTCCCGGGCTAACATAGCCACGCCTATTTACACTTAACAACCAATGAGGTTGTGCGGATAAGGACCAATGGAAGTTCTTCCCACTCAGGGAACAGCTCTGTCATGATTGGTCACTGTTCACGAGCGACCAATAGTGTGTGAGCACTGAAGGAGCCTTGGCTGGCTCGAAGCTTAACATGGGAGTTGAATTAGGCGATTCATGTAATACTTTCAATACATTACAGAGAGAGTGTCCCATATTGTAGCACTCAGGTCCATAGCCAGAAAAATTTAGTTGGTGGGGCAAGGGGCCAGGGCACTGGGGCAGGGGAGCAGGAAGTGGGTAACTTAATTAGATTATTAATTAAATTAGGTTAGTTCCCCGGGAAGGTCACTTAGCCACTCTGCTGCTTCTGGTCAGTTTCACTCCCCTCTGATCAGCTATTAGGTTTAACAACTGATCAGAGGGGAGTGAAACTGACCAGAAGCAGCAGGGCAGCTTCCCTTTCCTTCCCCAGCCTCCCGGCCACTGCAGAGGACTGAGAAGGGAAGCCCTCCTGCCACTTTTGGTCAGTTTCACTCCCACAGATCCCCTGTTAAGCCTAACACCTGATGGGCAGGAGTGAAACTGACCAGAAGCAGCAGGGTAGCTTCCCTGGAAGAGCCGGTGAGGCTGCGGAGGGGCAGGAGTCAGGAGCGCAGCCCAGTGGGGGTGGGGCAGGGGCCTGGCATCCTCCCAGGGTGGGGCTCATCCCTGGTGGGGCTCTGTCCCCAAATGCCCCACCATGGGCTATGGGCCTGGTAGCACTACACAAACTGGCCAAAGAGTTCCTTGTTATGATATATCTATCTATCTTGAAGGATTTAAACAAAGCCAGCAAATTAAGTTTCCTTCCTTTGTTTTTCTTCAGATCCGCACTCTAATCAGAAATGCTCGGAGTGAGAAAGTAAGCACTGCCTGAAATTATTCCCCCTATTTGACCTTGTCTATGTGCCTGAAAACCTGATAATCTATGCTATAACTATGCCATCATAAACGAGAGTTACAGCTTCTTAAAACTGTTGAAGTCAATGGGCTTACAAGGTACACTGTGCTAAGATTGCACTGATACGGTATTAACCAGTGCCAAAATGAGGTGAGTTTAAAATGCAGTGTGGTGTTTCTGTTACATGTGAATGTTGGCCTAGGTGTGGTCCTGTGGTCCTGCTGACAAAGGGCGGGCCTTGTTTTAGACAGGGCTTCATCAGCCACAGTGCAAGCCAAGCCTTCTTAGCTCAGAGCATCCTTCTGAAAGACCCATGCCTGTTGCTTAAATCTGCTGCATTTTATTGCTAAAATTGCAATAGTCTCTTAAAAGTTTGTTTTAGTGTTTTGGAGGCTAGTTAATAAGATTTTCTTCTTTCACATGGCATCATTGATTTAACCTGTTTTTCATGGAAGGAAATAACTAGCATTCTGGCTTTGTTACAGAATGAAACGTCTACTTCGCAAAGCAATAACAATGGCCAGGTAAGGACATGAATGCTGCTGATGAAATTCACAAATAATGGGCTCTTACTATGATTTTGCTTGCAGTACTCATTTTTATTATGACCCAGGCATCTTTACCTTGAAAACTTTTATTCATAATCTGCCATGAGACTTATTTTGGACTGGTATCTTGTTTTTTAGCCTGTATGCTGCTTTGTGAGCACTTTCTGCTAACAGCAGAATATAATAATTTAAATAAATAATGCACATATATTGCTGTCCAGCTATGGTTCCTGTGCAAAGAGGGGTTGTCCATCATTAAAAGGATATCCACTCCATGATGTTTAAGCTCTCAACTGCCTGCTAAAAGTGAAGAAATTAATCTTTGCTATCATGCATGTTGGTCCTGCAGACGTTACTCTATGGGGCTGGCACAGAGAGAATGAAGGCAGGGGAACCTTAATTACAGATAAGCAAGAGCCCCAGACTCCCGTGGGCCCTGTTTGCAGGGACAGGAGAGAGGCGATGAGGTGGTAGCCAAGCCATCTGTGTCTGATGGCACCACGAGGCAGAGGTTGGGGAAGCCTCCACAGCTGCACTGGCTCCCTAGGGCCCTTTCTCCTGGCCTGGCCAATCAGACATGACCTGTTGTGGCAGCAGGCAGGGCCCAACCAGTGGATTTTGTGGAGGGAGTTTTTATTCTGGTCCGACTAGCTGGGTTATTAAGGACCCTCCTGTGCCACCTGGATAAGAGGTCAGGAGTGAAAATTGCTCTCCGCAGAGCAAATTTCCTTTTCTCATTTTGAATGCCACTGAGGAATTCACAGCACCAATATGACCCGCAGGGAGCATGCATAGCTGCCGTCAAAACAGCAGTCCCAAGTCTCCTTCTCTACCTCTCTCACAGTACGTCCTGCTATAAAATGTAACAAACAACCAGTTAAACAGCTTGGGAGCATGGAAACTCAAAGCTCAATGATGTCAGATGACATGATTTTTTAGCACAGTACTTTCTGAGGAAAGATGGAACAGAAAAAGAAGATGCAGGTGTACTGCTTTTCGTTACAGCTACACAATCTTTGTTATTCTTAAGTGAGGAATCTTAATGTCAGTGCCAAAGTATCCATTCACTATAGTCGGGGGTGTCTGCCCCCCCCCATGGGGCAATGGGACATCATAATTGAATTCCATGGTCAGCAGAGACTCCCCAGACACAATGTTGTTCCTTAATTGCTTCTTTATTGGGTGCAGCAAAGTCCACACAGGCTTCCTCACAAGTGGCGTTCATGAGTGCAGTCCCCTTCACCCTCCCATTTCTGCCCCTTCAAACCCCAAGGTGTCTGAGCTGTTCCAGCAGACCTGTCCCAGTTTGGTAGCCTTATCTTGCCCCAGGCTCCAGCTCCTCCTGTTTCTTCTTTGTACTCCCTCAGCTTTGCTCAGACAGCTTCATTCCTGACCCCCCCCCCATTCTGACAGGTCCCTTTTTATCCCTGAGGCTTCACCCATGCTGCTCAAGATCTCTCTTCTCAGAGCCTGGTTGCTCTCTTAACCCCTTGCCTTGCCTTGCCCCACTCCAGCAGGGTTTGCATAAGGCTGCTACTGTCTTCTTGTGAGGCGCCCTGCTCTATCCAGGAGCATCTGCTGCCTTTTCCCCAATAAGTGGAGCCTCCTCTGGCCTCCACTGCTGCCTTTGTGACACAGGGGGATTTAATTTAAGGAGGGTACAATCCCATGACCCACTTCCTGTATCTTAAACAGTATGATAGTTGTTTACACTTTTACCAGTTCTGTGTTCTGATGGTCTCCTTGTGGAGCAGTAAAAACATACTGGCCTATAGCATAGTGGCATAGATTTTAAAAAAAAATTAGTAAGCTCCTCAGGCACTGACATGTAAATTGGAAGCCTTGGCCTGAATGAATGAATGAACATTTCATTTCTTTGTTTTGATAAATCACATACTGAGACACTGATTTCAACTTTCTTTATAGGATGGATCATTTATATCTGCCTATAGACGGGTAAGCAAATTGTCCCTTAGACTAAAACTTGATGTTACTGTTTCTATTAACTGAGCATTAAAGTGGATGCAAAGACTCTTCATTTCCTGTTCCTGTCTGTCAAAAGCTCAGCCTCCCACATCTAGCTGCCCATGAGAATTTTCTCTTGCCTTTTTATATCCTTTCTGCCAGCCATTTTGATCACCCTCACTCATCTTGTCTCTTTGGGGAGCTAAAAGTAACCAATCTCTTTCTGACACATTGATAATATAACTTCCTTTCTCTTTCATTTCAAAGTGGTCAGGTACAGTATGATGTTGTTGATACAATCTGGGTAATGTGTGCAGGCATGGGAATCCGTTTTCAAGCTTTCTGAAAACCATTCAAGGGGAAAAAGTGCTTATAACTATACAGCTAACCAGTGCTGATTGTTCACTTTTGAGCAGCTGTTTAATGCCATTAATGTATATTTGTGGTAATTAGTTCTTACTACACTAGAAGATTCCCAAACATTTTTATCATGGAAATAATAGCAACTTTACCACGCATGGTTGCTGTGAAGACTGATGACATAGTAGAAGTCCTGTATATACCATACCATACCATACCATACCATACCATACCATACCATACCATACCATACCATACCATACCATACCATACCATACCATACCATACTTTGTCTTCTGGTACAACTATTGAGCTGTATGACCTGCAGAATTTCTACATGCAAATGTTTTCCCATGGCTTTCCATGCCAGAAATAGCTTCATCTGCTGAATTTCTCATGTTGAACTGAATTATGGTATGAACCAGTTCTAAAGGCATTTTTCTGTATCATACAATTGTTACAGTACAAAGGCCATGCCCCCCAAAAAAAGGTTGACAACCTTGTTTTTAATAACACTACGTGTTGAAATGGAAATCTACATTACATTTTTTAAAAACTTGATTTTAGCTAAACATTTTCTTTATAACTTTAAAAGAGACTAAAGATAAAAAGTCTAATCCTCAACTCATAATGTAATATACGATAACCAGCATAGCAGCATTACAAATGAAAAGAAATAGGTGGTTGGTGTTATTTATTTATTTATTAGATTCAACTTGTTAGACCAACCTTCCCTACAAGTGGGTCTCAGGGCAGTTTGCATCAAAAACAATATAATAATACTCCCTTAAATGACATTGAAACATACTAAAAACAATATATTTTGAACAGTACAATTTCATTATCCGAGATGGTGAAACATTTAAGACAGTGCAGTGGGGGTTAACTTATCTCCACTGTCTAGAAGGGAATAGTAATTCAAGTTTCTTTCTGTAGTGCTTTGGCAGGAGTGCAAGCAAATTTCTCAATATATATAATATGCAAAAATGTTCCATTTCACGAGACTTGTTACAACAAAGATGCAACTAAATGTTCTGTATTTCTACAGGGAGAATGTGTTTGCCCTGGTGCACAGGTAACTGATATTCTTCTCTAAATACATAGCATTTATTGTTTGTCACTTAATACATCCCTGATCTGTGCTTTTTTGCCATATGTAACAGAGCTCTGTTTCCCCTGACGTGTGTTGATTTTTTGCAGTAGAAGAAAAATACATATTTGGAATCCAAACCACTATCCAAAGGGAATCTATTGAACATCAGACTTGGTCTTTATAGTGACCTGGGAGCTCAGCACCTCATACAGACTTTCACAAGACCCAGTTCCATATGGATCTTTATTGCAGAATGCACTCCATTGCACTGTGGAAGAACGCAACTGCATTCATCATTTATTAGTGTAATCCACAACATTCTCTGTGGGTGCAACCTCCATTTCTTGGTTAGGATAGTTGTAGGTAATTTTATTTACCCTGTGCTGTTTTGGTCACTGAAACACTGCAGTGAGGAGATAACAACACTGATGGGAACAAAAGAAACATCCTGTTCTTGAAAATGAATGTGATTACCATTTTTTACAGGGCACTTTTTCTTACAAATATAGAGGTAGGAGAGAAGTAAGTACTCTTTCTACACTTATTCCAATGTGTCTTTATTATTATTTTTTTAAATGGCTCAGTTCAAACAATCCTCTGTATCATTGTTTGAAGAGCCATGAACAAATCACAGATTATTAATGCCCTCCCTCCTCTTCCATCTCCACTCTGGCATGCAGCTACCTGCTCAGTTTCCTGATTAGTGTTGTTTATAATTTGCCATCGTAAATCTAACAGCCAACTAGGGCCCCCTTTTGTGCAGATTAAAAAATCCACGAGGGGCACCCCGGACTAGGGCAGATGTTTCTGTGAATTGATGAAGAACCCCCAATTTAGCAGAAAAGATCTTAAAGTTAAAAAGGAGATTAGCTCACAAGATCTTGTGAGACTATCTCATAAAATTTTGGCCACCATTTTGGGTTGCCTAGATAATCTCAGATAATATAGTCTAGACAACCTAAGGGTGGTCTCATGAACTCAGGACTTTTAATTTATTTTCTGTTTTATTTAATTCCCATTGGAGATGTGGGAGAGCAGAAGCAGGAGTCAGGAAGAAGGAAGGAAAGAGAAGCCACGGGAAGAGGAGTGGGGACAGGCCACAGGGGTTGCGGGGGGGGGCGGTGGACGACAGAAAAGATAATTGGAGAGAGTGGAGAGGGGAAGGAAGCAGCAACAAAGGCAGAGGGAGAGAGAAAGCAGGGGCCAGTAAGGGGAGAAGAGGAGGAGTCACAGAAACTGTGGAAAAGCATAGTGAAGGTGGGACAAGTGAGAGCCATCAAAGGGGGGGGGAACAGGAGACATCATGGTAAGGGGGTCAGTGAGAGGGATAAGATTTCCCCTCCCCTTTGTGTCCATGTGGCCCCTTTTTGTAATGTTCAACTTTGCAAACCATGGTGGTAAGATCAGATTCAGAAACTATGGTTTGAAGTAGTCTCTTTCTAGTTTGAAGGGCAAGTTTTGATCATGGTTTTCTGAGTCAAATGTTGTGTAGTAAACTATGGTCGGTGCTAAACAAGAAACAAAGAGGAAAGCAGCACTGAAGAGCAGATGAGGGAATGTATTAAGCCCACATTTAGTTATGACAAGGCAGGATAGGTTGCACACTGACCATAAAACTGAATGTTACTGTAGATCTTATTGCAAACTGTACAGAAGGTCACTGCACTGTAAATGCCTTAGACACTAATACACTTGTAGTTGTGGGCAACTAGGCCAGTGTAACAACCAGTGGCTCAGCTGCAGATGTACATGTCCTCTTACATAAAAACTTGCATCTAGCCACTTCAGTTGACGAACATAACAATGCAGGTGGCAATGTGTGGGCACCACCATATTGGCAAAGCGTGTAGACTCTTTGCATGGATACAAGACTCCCTCTTGCTAGCTTGGGGTATCAAGATGCTACAGGACTTACAGTCACAGATACAGTACTTAAGTTCTATGAATATTTTAAATACATTTCATCATATTTGGAAATATGCTGGATCCTTGACAGGTGGAGATGCCATTGTGTGGAATGGATAAAGGGGTACAATAAAACTGACTTTCACCCTGACCAGGAAAAACATGCCTGGTCAACTCAAGGCATGATAAAAATCCTTTAAGAACCCTTTATGATGAGACAAAGTTCAAACAAATGGGACAAGTGGCGAAAGACATATGAGTCAAAAATATGAGCGCTCCATTGAAGGATTTCTTCTCAGTTTAGTTTTGTCCCTCCTTCTCAAGTATCAGTCTTTTGTATATTCTTTTCATAATTATATGCAGTCTCTTCTCAGAGCTGTGATTTTTATTTCTCAATGAAATACTTGCTGGATGTAATTGTATCTATTTACCCTTGTGCTCAATTTTTTTCTCCTCTTAGTTGTTTGATGCACTGTACTCAGATGTAGGGGAGGTAAAAGGAAATTGTGAAGCAGCCAGTTTTAACTTCTAAAACAATTATTTTTATGTTATGAAATGCTGGAGAGGAAGCACATGGGATGCTGGTGAGGCAATGTCAGGTTCAACAGCAAGTAAATCTCCACACATGTTTCCAGGGAAGCGTTATGCTTTATTAGACTACAGGTCTGTTACCATGTCCACAGGGTTATTGTTAGGAATGACAATAGGGCGGAAACATCCCTACATATAGCAGGATGAGGCAAATGGCTAAGCAAATGAAATCCGAGCACGCGGGCGGGAATTCTCCCGGCGGGAGGTTACATAATAAGCGGGAGAGTCTCAGTGCCCCATGAGAGCCGAAAAATTCACACCTGCAGTGGAACGCAAGCCCTCCCCCCGTCACAAGGTCAGGCAGATAACTCAGTCTGGCAGCACTGGTTCTCACGGTCTCCCTATCGCTGTTTATGGCAAGTGGCAGAGCAGCGAGCAAGCTATGAGGCATGTGCCGTAGCACCAGGATCAGAGAAGGGAGCAAGCAAAACATGGCAGCTAGCTGACAGGCAACAGTGATGTACAGTCCACACATTCGTTTCCTTTAATTAAAAAAAAAGATTTTGTAATCAAGAGAAGGGCAGTAATTAAGAGCTTCTTAAGTGGTTAAGTATGAGGCTTCCGTCCTGTTCCATTCTATTGCCTTACTATGGCATAGATTCTTTAAAAACTCTGAAAGTGAAGCATCAACTGTGTCAGATCACTGTATGTTGCAGAGACAATGTTGCCTCATTACATGCATAGTTGTAACAGTGCAATAAACTGCTAGCATATATGCATCCTGCAATTTAAGCCCACTTAATGCCAGCAAGTTCACAACATCCAGATACATATATTGTACACTCTTTCATACCACTGAACCACATCAGAAATGCATGACAGGGACCTCTTGCAAATGGAATGCTTCCAATGAGTACCTTGAGAAGTATATCACTATTCTCCCCCCCCCCCCGAAACAGGGTTTAGAGAAATGTAGCTAAACTTGTTTTCTCCGTCTCTAGGGGTCTTCCTCCTATGGCAGCAGTTCTTATGGCCAGGTAAATATTTGGTGTTCAGTGCTTTAGAGTTGTACTAATATTATAATTACTGCCTACTAAAGATAAGAATGAAATATTATTTAAATACTTACCCAATATTGTTACAGAAATGATAACCAGGTAACACCAGTGTAACTGCCATCTGTTTTCTTACAAGGAAAATGCATGGCTCCTTGTCGTACAATGGATTTTTATCAAGCAGTGTAATGTTCAGGAAGGCCTGCTAATGAAATGATACAAACGCTCTGTTTTTGTTTTTAAAAACAGGGTTCATCTTCCACATATGGTGCTAGTGGGAGCTCTTATGGACAGGTAATTTTTTTTTAGAAAATGCTGCATTCAAAGACCAAGCCAGGAAGCCTTGACCCCTTTTCTTCTTCTTTCCTTCGCGTGTGGTTGGAAAACAGAATATCCATGGTCCTCTCAAACTACAGCCTGTTCTGATGTCCAAATGAGGAACAGTGACAAATTGTTCGGTGTGTTGCTTACAAACCAGGATTGAAATGACAGGAAAAAACAGTGATTTGAAATCTGGTTTATAGGAAAGAGAACAAACTGCAGTTTTGTCATCTCATCAGATAAAGCTGTCACAACAAATTGTAGATAAGAGAGAACCAGGAGGGTTTCCATTTGCCTTGTGTCAGGACAGGAGTGGAGAGGGAAGCACACTTTGTGAGGACTTCGCTGCTCCTTCTCATCACAAACCAATTGTGATTTTGTCTGAGGCACCTGAAAGCAATCAGCATGACATTTGTATGCACATCTGTATAGCAATGCCTCCAGGGGTCGTTTCGTAGAAAAAGAGCTAGGGGAACTCATTAGCATAACTCATGAGCATATGCCACACCCCCTGACATCACCGGAAGTGTGTCATAAGGCCACATACCCTGCCCCCAACGGTCCCGGCCGCCGCCGGCCTTGCAGCTCCACTGTTGAGCCCCATGAGGGGCCTGGCGGTGGACCTGCAAGGCCGGCGGGAGTGCAAGGAAGCCCCGCGAAGGTCCTCCCTGGCCCCAGGCAGGCAGGGGTGGGGAGAGGCAGGGAGGAAGCAACTTACCCTCCCTATTCTCCTGCCTCCTCCTGGCTGAATGAGGGCTGGAAGCGGGGTGGCCGGAAGCAGGGGGCGGGGCTTCGTCATGTGCCCCGCCCCCGTACCTCACCCAGGGGAACTGCGATCCCCCCCGAAATGACCTCTGAATGCCTCTATATTTAGTTTCCTTGCAATGAAAGCACTGTAGACAATGCTTTGGTTACAACTATTTCAGCAGAGCATAAGCATAGTAAAAGAAGAACTCCTATGTACCCAAAGATGTGCAGCCATATAGAGTTGAAAGAGATCTTGAGGGTCATCAGGTCCAATCCTCTGAGAGACTAAGTTCCACAAAGAGACCCTGAACCCCAAGGTGCCTTACCTTTAGATACCTTATCTTGTACTTTCACTTTTTCTTCCTCTCAGTCTTTCAAATTACCAACTGTTTTTTTTTTACATTCATTTGCCCTCTCATCTCAGCTGGAAATGCCCGAGGGTGCTACTTTCTTTGAGCTATGACTGGTATCTGATTCAAAGTGCTCTGGTAGAGTACCAGTTATTGGGAGCCTAGCTTCCAACCTCTGCAGGCATCCTTGAGGCTCTGAAAGCAGGGCCGCTAGTCTCATAAAAAGAATGTCTCATGGGGGTGATCTCTGAACCCTTTTCAGGCATCTCAGTGTTCGGAAAGCACCCTGCTGGGGCAATCACAGTGGGCACACTTTCCTCATCTCAAGGATGCCCAGAAAACAGAAGAGTGTTCTGTCCCTTTCCAGCCATTCTTAGGGCTCTGACGACCAACCTGCTTAGGTCTGTCCCAGAGATGTGCTCCATGTTTTGACAGTGGGAAAATGTGGAGGATGAGAAACATATTGTTGGGGGGCCCGTGAGACTTGCAGGGGAGAAATCCCATATTCCACACACACACCCATTGCTGAGCTGGCGAGGCTCCAGGCCCCACCACCTCAAACACTGAGCCCAGCAGCCAGTGTTGCCACAGACACCCCAGAGCAGCTGCTGGCGTCCTCTTCTCCTGATTCTGGTCCTGCAGCAGTTTGGTGTATTAGTCTTAAAGTTATGTTAAATATGTATTACTTTATGGACTATCTCCAGATTAAATTCATTTTTGTAGTTTTATACAAACATAAAAATAACACTTTGGGAAACCACCCCTCTCACCATTACAGCATCTTTTCTGAAGTATTCTCTCTTTTCTGCATAGGGTGGATCATATGGCAGTGGCAGCCCTGGATCATATGGACAGGTATGAACTTGGAATATATTGTGTTATTCCAATAAAAGTGGATTTTTTTAATTGAAACCTTCTCCCCCTTCCCAGTACAGTACCTTTTCTGAAAATAATGTCTCTTTTTGGGGTGGACCATATGTTGGCAGTGGTGCATCATATGGACAGGTGAAAATTCTTAAATGTACTTGAATGTACTTTTTAAATGGGATGCTTGTTTAGTTAGATACATTTCACCCCCCCACACACAGTACCTTTTTTGAAAATAATGTATTTTTTTGTATAGCCAGTTTGGTGTAATGGTTAGGGGTGCAGACTTTAATCTGGGAGAACTGGGTCTGATTCCCCACTCCTCCACATGCAGCTGCTGGGTGACACTGGGCAAGCCACAATTCTCTCAGAGCTGTTCTCTCAAGAGCAGCTCTCAAAGAGCTCTCTCAGCCCCACCTACCTCACAGGGTGCCTGTTGTGGGGAGAGGAAGGGAAGAAGATTGTAAACCACTCTGAGACTCCAAATGAAGGACGGGATATAAATCCAATCTTTTGTCCTCCTCCTCCTCCTCCTCCTCCTCTTCTTCTTCTTCTTCTTCTTCTTCTTCTTCTTCTTCTTCTTCTTCTTCTTCTTCTTCTTCTTCTTCTTCTTCTTCTTCTTCTTCTTCTTCTTCCAATGAAAGTGACTGTACTTTTTAAACTGGACCCTTATTTAATCAGAAACATTTCCCCTCCGCAGTACAATACCTTTTTAAAAAGATAATGTCTCTTTTTGTACAGAGTGGACCATATGCTGGCAGCGGCACATCTTATGGACAGGTGAAAACCTTTATATATATATTGTATTGTTCCAATGAAAGTGAATGTGTTTTTTTTAACTGGACCCTTGTTTAATCAGAAACATTTCCCCTCCTGACTACAGTACCTTTTTTGAAGATGTCTCTCTTTGTACAGGGCGGACCATATGCTGGCAGCGGTACATCATATGGACAGGTAAAAATTCTTAATATTGTGTATTGTTCCAATGAAAGTGAATGTATCTACATACATGCATATCTACATACATACATACATATGAAACACTGACTGTTTTCTGTTCAGGGCGCACAGAGTGGATCATACAGTGGTGGCAGTGGAACATATGGGCAGGTAAAAACTTTTTGAATGCACTGCATATATGGTAACCTATTGTGTACTAGTTTCATTTTTTCCCCTCTAGAATAAGGATAATATTCTAGTCTTTGAAAGTGGGGTTTATATTATTAGGCTTAAAAGAGAAAGAAACACAAAAATGTAAATGAGGAGCTTGAGCAGAAGAGGGGGTTATTTTTATTATGTATATATTTGGGAGGTTTCTGTGCTGCCTTTCCAGGGAATCTGGATTGAAAAAGGTTTGCTCTGCATTTCAGAATAAATATGTGTGTAAAGTGCTGTCGAGTCACAACTGACTTATGATGACCCCGTAGGGTTTTCAAGGCAAGAGACTAACAGGTGATTTGCCATTGCCTGCCTCTGTATAGCAGCCTTGACACCCTGCCAACAAAAGTCCGCATGGTCAAAGCAATGGTATTCCCAGTAGTCATGTATGGCTGCGAGAGCTGGACTATAAGGAAGGCCGAGCGCCGAAGAATAGATTCTTTTGAACTATGGTGCTGGAGGAGACTCTTGAGAGTCCCTTGGACTGCAAGAAGAACAAATCAGTCAATCCTCAAAGAAATCAACCCTGACTGTTCCCTGGAAGGCCAGATAATGAAACTGAAGCTCAAATACTTTGGCCACCAAATGAGAAGGGAGCACTCACTGGAGAAGACCCTGATGCTTGGAAAGATTGAAGGTCAAAGAAGACGGGGACGGCAAAGGATGAGATGGTTAGACAGTGTCATCGATGCAACGAACATGAAGTTGAGCCAACTTCAGAGGACGGCGGAAGATCGGAAGGCCTGACGAGAGCTCGTCCATGGGGTCGCGAAGAGTCGGACTCGACTGTGCGACTGAACAACAAACTCCCATTGGAATACTAACCAGCCTAGCTTCAAAGATCTGACTAGATTGGGCTAGCTTGGACCATCCAGGTCAGGGCCAGAATAAATGCCAGATAAAAAGAAGGTGGGGGGGGTGTTGATGGGATGAAATGATGCTTCTTGGCCAGTACTGAGTGAGAAAAAGAAGGATGGGACTTTTTAGTTGTAGCTAAATGACAGAGGGAGTACTTGAAGAGGCCAGGGCTAACTTGTAATGTGTAAAGTAAAATCTACTGCTTAGGGAGGTTAGGAATAATAGGTTAAAATCATATGGTAAACTGTAGCATAAGGGACCAGCTGAACACTGCAGAGTGTTTGCAACTTTTGAAATGTAAATGGTCCTCTGCAGAACATTAATTCATATTGCAGAAAACACTTTATCTGATTTTAATGAGTCTTCCAGCCTTGGAACTCTTTATGTTATTAGAGAGTCTGATACTAAGAAATATATAAAACAAAAGGTTTCTATTCTCAAATATACAAATTAAGTGAGAGTAGACATATTACGGTAATATGGCATTTCAGTAACAGTAATTAAATAATGGTTAGATAATGGTTTTCTTTACAGGGTAGACCAAGTGGAACCTATGGAAGTAGTAGTCAGTATGGACAGGTAATTCATTTTATTGTATTGTTTCTAACAAAAAGGACTGCACATTTTTTATCGTAACTTCCCAACACACTACCTTTAAAAATTCTTCTATACAGGGTACGCCATATGGAAGCAGTTCTCAGTATGGACAGGTAATGTATTTCTTTCCAATGACAGTGAACTTGAACTCTCTTCCTCCTCCCAAGATTTTTTTTTAAAAAAATAACAGGGTTTCTCGTCAGGGTGGGCAAAGTGGGGCATATGGTGGTAATTCTGTTCTCTCCAAGTAACCTGAAAATGCATTTTTAATTGCAACCATTTTATTCCCCCAAGTATAGCATCTTTTTGAAATAAAAATTCTCTTCTATCCAGGGTGCATCATATGGAGGCAGTTCTCAATATGGACAGGTAATATATTTTATGGCATTCTTTTCAATGACAGTGAACTTGAAATTTTACTTCCTTTCCTCCCTCCTCCTAAGAATCTATTTTGATATAGCAGCTTTTTTCTATACAGGGTGGACAGAGTGGGACATATGGTGGCACTACCCAATATGGACAGGTAATTATATTCTCTCCAAGTAGCCTGAAAATGCATTTTTACTTGCGACCAGTGTTCCCTCTAAGCTGAGTTGGTGTGAGCTAGCTCACAGTTTTTTAGCCTCTGGCTCACACTTTTTTGTCTCAGCTCAGCAAGGATGGCTTCAGAGCAAACTGATTTATGCAGTAGGCAAATCGCTCGCTCACAACTTTAATGCACATAGCTCACAAGGTAGAATTTTTGCTCACAAGACTCCACATCTTAGAGGGAACATTGCTTGCGACCATTCCTTCCTCCCAATTATAGCATATTTTGTGAAATACAAATTCTCTTCTATCCAGGGTGCATCATACGGAGGCAGTTCCCAATATGGACAGGTAATATATATATATATATGTATATATATTTGCATTTTTCCCCAATAACAATGAACTTGAAATTTTACTACCACCCCCAGAATCTTTTTTGAAATCAGCTTTTCTTTTCTTTTTTGTACAGGGTAGACCAAGTGGGTCATATGGCAGCACCGGCCAATATGGACAGGTAATTGTACACTTTCTAGTAAAGGAATGCATTCTCCAACTTGAAGATGCATTTTTAATTGAAACCATTTTCTCTTCTCAAGTACAGTATATTTTTTTAAAAATAAGAACTTTCCCCCTGTTTCCTCCCTGGGAACTGAGATCGCGGGGAGATGCTCTCCTGACTGCCCCACCAATTAAAGACACTTGTTTGGTGAGTGCACAAGAGAGAGCTTTTTCCATGGTAGCCCCACAGCTATGGAACAATCTCCTCTCATTGTTGATCTTCAGGAGGCAGCTGAAGATGGTTTTATTTAGGACTGTATTTGGATTGATTTAGCTTGTTATTGGCAGTCGTAATCAGAGTTTTTAAACTGTGATTTTAATCAGTTTTTATAATTGTTGTTTTATTTTTTTATATATAAGTTGCCTTGAGCTCCACAAGAGACAAAGGTGGCTAACAAATGATTTGAATAATAAAATAATAAATAACTCTTTTCCATACAGGGTGCACAAAGTGGATATGGTGGCACCACCCAATATGGACAGGTAACTTAATATATTGTATTCTTCTCAATTAAAGTGAATGCACATTTGTAATTGTTATCCTTCCTGTATAGGGTAGACAAACTGGATCATATAGGGGCACCACCCAATACGGACAGATAAAAGTCATGGTTAATATATTAAATTCTATGCAATGAAAGTGAATGTATGTTTTTTACTGGAACCCTTTCCCCATCTGAAGATCAATGTCTTACTTATATCAATGTCTCTTTTCTGTACATGGTGGACAGAGTGGATCATATGGCAGTGGATCATATGGGCAGGTAAAAACTCTTAATATATATTATTTCAATAAAAAGGAATCTGCTTTTTTAATTGAAACCTTCTCCCCCTCTCCAGCACAGTACCTTTTTGGTAGTAATTTCTCTTTTCTGTGCAGGGTGGGCAGAGTGGCAGCAGTGGATCCTCCGGGCAGGTAAAAACTCTTAATTTATTGGTATTATTCCAGTAATATATTGTATTATTCTAGTAACCTTCTCCCCCTCTCCAGCACAGTACCTTTTTGGTAGTAATTTCTCTTTTCTGTGCAGGGTGGACAGAGTGGCAGCAGTGGATCCTCCGGGCAGGTAAAAACTCTTAATTTTTTGGTATTATTCCAGTAATATATTGTATTATTCTAGTAACCTTCTTCCCCTCTCCAGCACAATACTTTTTTGGTAGTAATTTCTCTTTTCTGTGCAGGGTGGACAGAGTGGCAGCAGTGGATCCTCCGGGCAGGTAAAAACTCTTAATTTTTTGGTATTATTCCAGTAATATATTGTATTATTCTAGTAACCTTCTTCCCCTCTTCAGCACAATACTTTTTTGGTAGTAATTTCTCTTTTCTGTGCAGGGTGGACAGAGTGGCAGCAGTGGATCCTCCGGGCAGGTAAAAACTCTTAATTTTTTGGTATTATTCCAGTAATATATTGTATTATTCTAGTAACCTTCTTCCCCTCTTCAGCACAATACTTTTTTGGTAGTAATTTCTCTTTTCTGTGCAGGGTGGACAGAGTGGCAGCAGTGGATCCTCCGGGCAGGTAAAAACTCTTAATTTATTGGTATTATTCCAGTAAATATTGTACTAGTAAGAAGGCCCATTGTGGAGAGAAATGTAACAAGCCCTAGTAAGAGAGCCTGGGGGAGTGTGGTGGCCAGCAGCAGTCATCCAACCCCCCAACCCTGGCAGCTGCAGCCTAGCAGCATGGGCAGACCACCGGTGGACGCAGGGTGGGCTGTCACAGCCTGCAGGGCTTGGCGGTAGCTGGGCCTCTGTCTCCCTGTCCATCCCTTGCAAGAAGAAGGGGCAGTGGCAGCGTCGTCCTCCAGGTCCAGTGGTGGGTAGAGCAGCGCCCCTCTGCCACCACCCTGGTTCCCGCCATGGGGTCGGGCAGCAGGAGGCGGTTTGCTTGGTTGCAGCTATGCATGTGGGAGGTCTTGTTGTGTGGGGGATGGTGTTGCTGGTGGTGGCGGCAGGGCCTGGCGCAGAGCAGTGGCAGAAACAGTCCAGCGGAGCTTGATGACGGCAACAGGGCAGCTGGTGGAGGGGCAGCCTCCTGTCGCAGCAGCAGCCATCGCCCCACTGTCACTTCCCTCTCAGCTGCTTCCGAGTCTGCCGGCACCCCAGCGCAGTTGGCCTACTCTGCGGAGCAGCTGTGGAAGTGGGCCGGGGGAAGGCAGGAAGGAAGAGGCAGTGACCTCCAGCTCCTCAGGGCTGTGTCTGAGGGAGATAGGGGAGGCCAAGCGTGGGAGGGCTTGGCTGACAGAGCGGTGGGTGCCGTCTTGTGTGTGTTCACGGAGGAAAACGGCCTCCCATTGCTCGGCCTCCCCCAGGGCTCCTGTGTCATGTGGGCTGGCTTCTCCCAGGCCGGCCAGCAGCCTCAGAGGGTAGGCGGTGACGTGGCTTTGGGGCCCCAGGGCGAGCTGGACAGAGCAGTTCCCAGTGAGTGATCAACTTGGGGAGCCATCCCTCGGCGTGCGAGCACCCAGAAGCCCCCCCGTGTGCCCGGCTGCAACAGAGGCAGCGCTTCACAGGTGTTGCATTGTCCGTGCAGGGCAACAAATGCAGAGGGCAAGGGGGCGGCGGAGGGGGATTCCCTGCATCACAAGGAGAAGGGTTTCATGGGGCAAATGAGCACCACAGGAAGCCCGTTGGGTGGCACTTCTCTCCCTGCCCAGGTTTCTGGACATCTCCGGCCTTTTGCTGCCCTCCCCCCCCCCGGTCTCCCAGTCGGCCTGTGCACCCTTCGGCCGCCAGAGCATCCATTCCGTCGGTCTGCTCAGAGCACAGTGAGGCCAAGACGCTGGCGGGCGCCTCTGTGGGTGGGATGGAGGCAAGGCAGGCAGCCAGTGCAGCCAGGGGATTGGCAATCCTTTAGAGTGGTAGCCGAGGGAGCCAAAGGCTGTGGGAGCGTGTGGAGCATTCACACCAAAACACTTTTATATATAAGGAGAGAAGATTATTTTAATGAAAATGAATGTGATTTTTAAAATTGTAACCTTCTCTCCCTCTCTAGCACAGTACCTTTTTGGTAGTAATGTCTCTTTTCTGTACAGGGTGGACAAAGTGGCAGCAGTGGATCCTATGGGCAGGTAAAAACTCTTAATTTATTGTATCATTTCAATAAAATGGAATATGCTTGTTTAATTGGAAACTTCTCCTCCTCTTCAAACAGTTTCTTTTTCAAAGTAATGTCTCTTTTCTGTACAGGGTCAACCAGGTGGATCATATGGTGGCACCAGTGGATCATATGGACAGGTAAAAAATCCTAATACATTGTGTTTTTCCACTGATTATGAGGTTGCATCTGCAGGAAAATTATTTTTCATGTTGCTTTTATTGCTGCTGCAAATGCATTCACGGTGGCAATGAAGCATCCCCAGGATCAGCTGAGAAATGGATTCCTGCCTCACTTCATTTTTTTTTAAATTTCTCTTTATTGAATTTTCACACTTAATAGACATACAAACATAAATCACCATAATTTTCCAGTACAATGCCTCACATTACTAATATTTTTGTTATACACAATCAATATTTAACTTCTCTCTATTCTTATACTAACCCACTATGATTCCAGCTTATGTTTCTCATACTCCTTTTCAAATTTTTCTGGTCTTAATAATTCTCTAATACCCTATTTGCTTTCCTATCTTTACTCATTTTTCTTTACTATATATCTATATATCAAGTTACCTTTTATTACATTCATTCTACTTTTTGAAAAAACCCAGTCAGCTAGACTATTCTCTTCTATATATCAAAATAGCTTTTTATAAATTCATTTTAATTATTGGAATACACCCTCAGCTGGACTGTTCACCTCTTATTTTCAACATCATATTTACTCTAGTCATGGGGAAATATTTTTACAATTAAACTAATAAATAATGTAGAATTTAATCATTCTGTTGGTGGTTATACCATTCTTACCCACAATGTATTTCATTCTAGCTTAAATTTACAATCATGTGGAATACAATAACACAAATAAATTATAGAATTATAAAATAAACATGTTAGTCTCAAAATATTTAATCATCGTCCTGGTAATATTACTACCCTTATCATCCTGTTATTTTATAGTAAAATTATCAAAACCAAATTTACTCAGAGCCAAATATTATTCTTACCAAAGTCAATAACTTGTAATAAATTCATTTTACTTATTGAAACACACCCTCAATTAAACTGTTCACCTCTTTTTTTCAACGTCATATTTTCTCTAATCACGGGGCTCAATTATTAATTTCCTAGGGCAGCTACCCTTCCCAAAGCTAGTATATATAGTAAACTAATAAATAATAAACAGTTTAGTCATTCTATTGTTAGTAATACCACTCTTACCCACAAAAGTTTACAATAACGTAAGGTACGATCAGAAGAATACATTATCTAACAGTAAAACAAACATGTTACTCTCAAAATATTTAATCATAAGCCTAGGGATTTTTGCTATCATCTATCACACCCCACTCCTTGTTGCAGTACCACCCTCTGTCGTGTAATTTGCTCATAGTATTACAAGTAACACTACCATTGCCCTCATTCAATCTTATTTCCAATTAATTTATAGTAAATTTATCCACAGGAAATTACAAGTACCAATTTTTAATCTTACCAAGTCCCACATAAAACAAATTTCCTAACATCCCCCACAAAAATCCAAAAATCCACATGAGACAAATAAGGAAGGGTAAGAAAATAAAGATTTTTTAAAGCCACAGTCCTTGCCACACCAATATATTTCAGTTCTTTTTTTCTTGATTTTCCCCGTTCTCTTCTACATGTCGTCGGTCTTTGAACTCCTGCATCTTTATTTCCATGTTGTCCTTTCCATAATTCCTAGTATTTAGTTGCTTGAACATTTTGTATTTCTTTACTCCTTTCTTTACTTTTTTCCCTCTTGTTTGTCTCTTCCCTTTTCTCTTAAGTAAGTTCAACAAGCATTTTTTCCTTACTGTTATTTTTAGTTTTCCTTGTCCCTCCACAAATCCTTTAGCAATATCTGCCTCCTGTAACATTTCTTCTGTAAATACATTCTGTGCAACATATGGTTCTTTCTCCTGCTCCGTTTTCTGCTCCACGTCTTTCCTTTGGGTTCCCTGTATTTTTTCCTTATCTTCCTTATGCTCCAACAGTTCATTGTGGGAATTTCTCAACAGGTTTTCACAAGTTACTTTAAATGTCTGTATCATTTCTTCTACGAAATGTTTTTGAAACTGTTCCCATTGTTCCCTCGTAAGGTCGCAAAGTTTTATATCTCCATCTATCTCTTCTTTCACATCTAGCACCTCCATTTCTTCACTTCATTCCACACATAGCTTTCCAATTTAATCAAATTCAGGTATATTTCAACAATAGTTTTTAACGGGTAATGATACTTTACGCAGTTCGTCTTACCCTTTACAATTCTCATAGCATTTGTTTCCCAAACATCGTCCACGGCCACTTTCTTCATACATCGGAAAAGAAAAATCCTCAAAGGGTACATAATCCATTCTTCTTGACCAAAATATGCACAAAGCCAGTCTTCCAATGTGAAGCATCGAATCCATCACACAACAACAAAGAAAAAAAGGTTTAAAACCGGAGGCTGCGACTAGCTCGAACATGGCGGCCATGTTCTTCCCTGCTATCGCTCCTACTTCGGGGCAGAACCGGTCACCCCCCGCAACTGCCGGGTCATGGGAGGGGCCAGAAAAAGCCCCCTGCTCCTACACTCTGTCGGAGAGTGTTGGTCAAGCTCTCCCAGCGCCTGGGAGGCTCAAAAAGAACAATAGAGGTTCGGGCAGCTCAGAGCGCATCAAACGCCTGCCTGCCTGTCATCGCGCCATACCGGAAGACCAATTCCTGCCTCACTTCAGTTGTCTTGCAGCTTTCCCTTCCCATTCCTTTCATATCTGTAATGAAAAGAGCTAGACCTACTTTTCTTTCCAATGAAAGCTGGGAATTCAAAGGAACTAGTAGGTCACTGCAATAGATCATTTAACTAATATTGCTCTAAAGCACAACAGCAATTACAGATTTTTTTATTTTAAAAAAGCTCCCTCAAAAAGCCCTCTGGTGACATTGTGGGGACAATGGTAGCCTTGAGAGGCTGATAGAAGAAAAATGGCATGGAGATTAGCAGGACCTTCAAGAACATGCACCTTCTGATCCAGACAGCATCTTAAATGCACTTGGAGGATTGTGTTCTTGCAAAAAAGACTATAGCAAAGCATGTTTGGGGGGGAAATGAGCACAAAGCCAGGGAAAACATAAAAAGAGGATGATTAGAGGACAAAATACTAAAAAAAAGTACACCACTTCGGAAGAAAAGGTAGAACAAAAATCCACGTGGAAGCAACCTGATTAGGACAGTCCTTTCTCCTATGTACAATTTTTTTTGTATTTTCTACATAGGGTGGATCTTACGGTAGTGGTTCAATCGGAAAGGTAAAAACTCTTGTATGTAATAAAATGTCCAATGAATATGGTTTCTTAATTGGAACTCTGCTCCCTGCCCCCCCCCCGTACAAGTTTAATTCATAACAGTGTATGGGCACTCACAATCTGAATATAATTATTATTTTTTAAATATTTTAAAATCTTACAATAAGTATTAGGAATTGTTTTATGAATACAATGAATGCAAGGGCCATCAGTATTAAAATACACATGAAAAGAAACATAAAATGAAAAAGTAATGATGAACAATGGATCAAAACAAGGTTAAGAACACATAAAAACAACATTGCCAAAAGGTACATAGCTAAATAAGATATTTAAACTTTCATGTAGAGCTCTAGCCCATATTTCTTTAGCTGCCAAAGCACACTGCACCACTCTATACAAGACAAACTATTCAGAGTCTGAGAGAATTAAAATTTATTTTTTTTCCACTGTGGAAGGATCTGCACCTGCAAAATCTCAGCAAGATGTTTGCCTATAAGCTATATATAAAGAGGACTGAACAAAATTCAATGCGAGAGGTCTTCCAGAACAAAGGCTCCATAGATACATAAATGTGCAGCAATTGGTAGTTGAATGTAATGTAACATCGAGCTAAAATAGCTGAAGGCGTTGTTTGAAACTAGATGGATGCTAAAACCATTCTAAGTTTGTGGATGCTGGGAAAAGTTGAAAGCAGTAGGAAAAGAGGAAGACCTAACCTGATTTGGATTGACTTGATAACATTTATATAGTTTCTAAACCATTTAACGTGTCATGTTTAAATGCTTATGCTTTGTTTCAGCTGTGTTTTAGATTTTTGCTGGTTTTCAGATTTCTGTAGTCCAAATCTTATTGCACTGTTCATTGGGTGCTCCATACTGTTGACTGTATTTGACTTATACTATTTAATCCATCTTGAGTCTCAGTGAGAAATGTGGACGATAAGCAACATAAATGAATGAATAAATAAGCAAAATAAAGGAAGCCATGGACTTCCGTTTGCAAGACCAGAGCAAGGCTGGTAATGATAGGGCATTTTCATAGGGTAGCCATAAGTTGGAAGTGACTTGACAGCACATAACACACACTAGCTTGTGGACAGTTATGTTGGGCAGATAGGAAGCTCTATATTTTTAAACAATTTGAACCAGGGAGAAAGCCTGGAGAGAGACATAGTGCGCAATTTGAACCAGGGAGAAAACCTCGAGCGAGACATAGTGCGCAACTGTCCAACCCAGTTTTAAAGGCTGAATATATTGGAACCAGCCAAAGGAATGCCTCGAGGTCATGTAGAAATTGTTATATAAAACTACATTTGAGAAGCTTGTAAGGCAGCAAAGTAATATTATGCCTTCGAAATGTTTCCAGAAAGCTGGAATAAGTTGCCAGTAAATTGGTCCTTAAAATTCCCATGTTCCTATAACTGTCAGAAATCATCATGCCCACCAGATTAATAATAAAATAAACTGAGACCTTTCAGGATATCCAATCCGATTACTTTCCTTTGAACATTGTCGTGAACAGGAGCCTTTCAGGATATCATATCATTTCTATGAACTGCACAATTCTGAGGATATTTGCCTTTATCAGAATATTCATTGTCAGTATAACCATTATCACTATGATTTCCTTAAGCCTTTGAAGAAAAGATGCTTTTTTCCTAGGAATTCAGTTTTCCTTGAGATAACCCCTTTCTTGCGCAAAGAAGACTCCCATAAGAACTCTCACTGTTAAACTGCTCTTAGAGTGATTTAAATATGCAAATATGCAAAGACCTAATGTAACTATGTAACATGTAGCACACATGTAACACACATAGCAGTCACCCCAGCCACCTGTTAGTGGAAGTAGGCAGTGGAGGGAATTAAATCCAGTCTCACTGTGCACCTAATTGACTGGCTAGTGCTTTATAAGAGCATTCCCAACAGCTGGAGGAGGGAAGGATCTATATTTGCATCATCATTTTGAATACAGAAGACTTCAACCAGCTCAGTATGTGTGCACAAGTCAGAAACCTATGGTATTTCTGCTTACATATACACAGGGGTCATTTCGTAGAAAAAGAGGTGCAGGAGCTCATTAGCATAACTCATTAGCATAACTTATTTGCATAAGCCACACCCTCTGACATCACCAGAAGTGTGTCAGAAGGCAACACCCACTGCTCAGGCTCCAGTAGACTGTTTTGGATTGCTAGCTATTGGGGGGGGGGGACATGCAGATCTGTCCTCACAGAGGAGGGAGAGCTTGTACCTGAATAAAACTTGGTATTAAAGGTGCCACTGGACTGTTTTGGACCATGGAGCTGGGGGGGGGCTCTTCAACTTACCTGGCTGCTTCTCGCTCTGACTGAGGGCTGCTGGGAGCAGGGGTGGGGCTTGTTGCATGTAACTGCCTCCTGGGCTCTTTACTGCCAGAGTTCTGCTCCTGTGCGCTCCTGCAGGAAATGACCCCTGCATATACAGCTGAGCTTAAGTAGGTATAGATATATTATTCTTTCCAAAGAAATACCACACTCCAGAAAGATTTCTCAGTCAAAACCAACAGAAATAAATTATTCCTACTCTTTCACAGAACTCCTCTTCCTTGGGTGGCAGTCAGACTAGTGGACAGGTAACAAATGAAAAAAAAGAACTTATTCTCAAATTGGTAGGAAAAATTGGCAACTAAATAAATTGTCTGTCTGTGTGGGTTGTTTTTTTTTTTTTTTGCAGGGATCATCAGGAGGAACCCAGTCTGGTAGTCAGGTAATTAATTTTTTTTTTTAATCTTGCTGCCAGATTTGGTATTATACCTAGAGTACAGGAGCAATTTGCCACCTTCTTGATTCTCCGGTCACAGTTCATCAAAAAGGGTCACATTAATGGCAAAGAAGCCAAGGCACCTCTGATGTCCTCCTTTAACAGACTGGGACAGACTAGAGTAGGATTGCCAACTCTGGATTCGGAAATACCTGACGTTTTGAGGGTGGAGCCTGGAAAGGTGGGGTTTAGGGAGGGGAGGGACCTCGGTAAGGTATAATGTCATACAGCCTTCCAAAGCAACCATTTTCTCCAGGAGAAGTGGAATAAATGATTAAATAAATAAATAATGAAGAACAAAGCAATCTATATAGTCTGCAGATCAGCTGTGATTCTGGGAGATTCCCCAGCCCCCCCCCCAGAGGATAGCAACCCTAGACCAGAGGGAAACTTCTTGGCCCCATTCCCCCAACATCCCATAGCCAGCAACCAAAAGGTGGGGTGGAGCCATAAATGGCAGCACAGGACTCTCAGCTAAGAGCTGCCAAGAGGTTGCAGCTGCCCAACATCCTCCTGCTCCCCCCCCCTGCCCTGGCACAAGGTCACTCCTGCCTAATGGCAGCTAGCTGAATTTTTTGAGCAGCATCTCTATTGCCTTGTAAAGCCAAGAAAGGCAGCTGCATAACCTGTCAATTAATGCAATGCCATTGGATGGAAACAGCAACTCTTTGCTTTCTCAGCTATATGCCATGACTGTTCCAGCCTTTTGTAGTCAGTGGAAGGAGAACATGGGTAGCCATGATACTACGGAGAAAGAAGAATGAGATGAGTGGGAAAGAAGGATGGAGAAAAGTTGATGTAGTAGATAGATAAGAAGGCTTTGTAAACCAGTTCTAAATTCTGCCTTGTAGACAGTTTTCTTGACTATTTTATATCATAAATGGAAGAGTATACTTACATACAAGCATGGCCTCTCACATGAGAAAGTGGTGGTTGAAGAGTTTATTTTTAACAAAAATGGAACATGTGAGGAAGGGAAGCTAAATCCTCATCATAAGAACATATGTTAACAGTGAAGGTATTCAGGAAGCCCATAGGCATCAATAAATAATCTTCAGCTTTGCTTTTTATTACAGCATTTATCACCCCATTGAGGCTGTCAATAGAGGGGCCTAATGAGCACTCTCTCATCATAGAAGTGACATTGTAATTGATGTGTACTGTTTGTGAATACCCTTATACTTATAGTTATTTAGAATATGAAAACCTATTTGTTTGGTAAATATAGGGTTCATCATCTTCTGGAAGCAGGCCATCTGGAGGACAGGTAAGAACCTTCTTACAATGCTTGTAAGCATTCAGTATATATTTCACAGAACTTGTGGAATGGGCTATGAGGACACGTGAAGTGGTCATGCTCTTCAGGCATTTAGAAAGAGATGCAAGGTAATATTGTTTGCCAGGGCTTTTAATGGGATTTGAATTATGTTGTTGGGACTCAGGAGGATCATTTTTACTCTATTTATTGTATTGTGTTTTGTTCTGTTTTGAATTAAATTGGTTATGAGTTGTCTTGAGTCCCTTAGAGGGAAAGGCAGGATGTCAATGTTGCGAATAAATAAATATGTATACATTTATAGTAAGGGTGCGTGTGCAAATTTTATAATTATATTAATAAAAATATATTCCACACTAAACAATAGTGTCAAGAAAATGGCCCCTGCCCAATTAGGCTTGCAAAAATAACATAGTACAAAATATTTTAAAACTATAAAAAGAAAAAAAAGACAGTGTCAAATTAAAATCATGGAAGTTTAGTCATAAATTAGCTTAAATAGCTGAGCCTTTAGATAGTTTTTAAATAAGGAAAGAGAATAAATTAATCAGCTAGCAAGGAATTCCATAAATAGAAGCAATAAGAAAACAAATATGAACATGCAATACAGAAGACATTTACACATGACAGATTATAAAATGGATTATAGTATAATTACAAATTATAACATGGATGGGATAATGGAAGAAGGAAGCAAGGGTTAAGATGGGGAAGAATAGGGAAGGCCAGTAGAAGAGCATTCTAATAATAATTTTAAAAGACAAAGAGAAGAATCAAAGTGTGAATAGAATCAAGAGAAAGAAGGAATTTTGGCAAAGCAATTGAAACTACAGGACTTAGCTAATATAGTAAGTTCTGTTTCAGATTTTCAGATTTCCAGAATCCAAACTCTATTGCACTATTTATTGGATGTGCCGTCATGTTGATTGTATTTGACTTGAGTCTTGAGTCTCAGTGAGAAATGTGAACTATAAATAAAACAAATAAATAAATAAAAATAAATAAATTGGGGGGAAACTGAGATGGGGTTAAATTGGGGGAAAACTGAGATACACCGCCCTAAACCCCAAGTATGGAGGAAGGCAGTCTAAAAATCCAATCAATCAATCAAATAACTCCAGAGTTCCAAGTCTGAAAAACACTAAAAATAGTAAAACCAACAGTAGATTAAGAAAGAGATGGAACAAGGGAAGAAGGATCCAGGGAGAAATTTAAAAAAAAAATCAGTCTTTTAAAAATGCAACAAGGGAATGAATGACACAATATCAAGGAAGCAAGATAAGAGGTTACTGAGAAAAAAAGTGTAAAAGAACAATTGATAATCTCCGTCACAAATGTGATCATTAATACCAAAAGACCGCAATAAGAAAACCTAACTGCCTGAAGGTAATAAACAACAACGTGTGTCTGGGGGGACAATGGACAACAAAAGAAAACAGGGAAATGCAAATTGAAATCTCTTCATTCTTTATATCTGAGGCACAGTATTTTCGAGGGCAAGAAGGCTGCTCCCCTCCCACACACACACACACACACACACACACACACAAGCGATGGTTTGTATCCAACAGATCCCTCAGCAAAGGAGCACAGATATTTTCTATAGTCTCCTTCCTCCAGCAGTTCCATTCAAATTCCAAGGATCACAAGACTTGTGTGGGCTAAAAGACACGGAGGTAGAGGTACTGCAGTGAAGGGGGGAAGGGGTTGAAATCACCCTTTCTTCCACAGGTATAACTCAACTGACAGAAGGGGGAGGGTGAGCAATTTTGCCCCTACCCCTACTTACTGCAGCCCCCAGTCATGTGGCTGTCAGCCCACATGGGTGCTTGTGACCCTGGGAATCAACTTTCCCAGGAACAAAGGGACTATTGGGGGAAGGGGAACATTTCAAACAGCCACATCCACCCGCTCCTTCCATTGACAGATTTCTGATTCAGCCCTATGAGTTCAGAGCTATACAGCTCCTATGGGGGGGAAATCCATATATCTGAAGTCTGAGAATTCTAGGATAGGGTTTCTTCCTATGGCTATCATAGAAACCTCTTCTAGAGCAGCACTAGCATAGTCATCTGCTGAAATAATCCCTCTCTCATTTAACCCAAGGACAGGGGATACTGAATGTCTGCCATGTTAGATATCTCAGTTAAAGATGATAGATTATCATAGTTGGAAACATCTACCTTAAAAGATCAACAGTTTTATGGTAGGTACTAAAAAATTAAAAATATTAATAAAAAGGTAAAGGTTCCCTTGCTCGAAAGCCAGTCGAATCCGACTCTAGGGTTGCGGTGCTCATCTCCGTTTCAAAGCCGAAGAGCCAGCGCTGTCCGAAGACGTTTCCGTGGTCATGTGGCCGGCATGACTAAACACCAAGGCGCACGGAACGCTGTTACCTTCCCACTGAAGTGGTCCCTATTTATCTACTTGCAATTTCTTGCTTTCAAACTGCTAGGTTGGCAGGAGCTGGAACTAGAGACAGGAGCTCACCCTGTCTTGCGGCACCCGGGTCTTGAACCGCTGAACTACTGACCTTCCACAGCCTGCAGTTCAGCGTCTTAACCACTTGAGCCACCGCAGCTCCAAAATATTAATACTGGACCCATAAAGGAATGTTGTTAACTTTTCTGTAAAAGAAATGGCATAAAAATGGCATTCTAGTAAGATGACACGTCTCCTTTTAATAATGAAATACATGAAGGATTTTCTGTTTTCTTGACAGACTGGCTGTTACTGCCCAGGCGGAGTTTCCGTAAGTACTTATTCCTAGCTATATTATTTTGGAAACCAAGTGAACTGGAACACAATCCATTTGTGCTCAGGAATGAACTTTTTTGTTTTTAAAGCAGGTGTTCTCTAAAGCTAAGGTGGAGCACATTCTATTGCTTTGGTTACTCACAATCCTTTGCAGTATCAAGTAGGTTATTAAATGCTTGAGGCTAGATTAGTACCACCAGGCTGAAGTTTTAAAAATAATGGGCACTAAAGCTGAAGTTCTGTCTCACAGGGTTTGACAGAGCTGGTGTATACGATGAACTGTTTGACACTATAGTGTTCTGGCATAAGCAGAAGTCCCATAAAATAAAGCCCAGTCCCTAGGCTGGGGTAAACAGGATCATTATTTGCTAAAACTTTGTAATACAGTGTTGGCAGAAAGTAATGGAGTAGGGAAAAATGGGAGAAGGGTTATCAAAAGATTGCTCTTTTTAGCAAGAATAGAACATTTATCACATTTTATCATGCCTGTTTTAGGAGTTGAGGTGACATTCTGTCCACTATTTTACCTTCACAATCTCCCTCTGAGGCAATTTAGATGGAAGGTCATCCAGTAAGCTTCATGGTTGAAGAGCAATTCGAACCTTGGTTTCCCCAGCCCCAGTCCAATACATTAACAAACAGAACACAGTGTATGATATATACTGTATATACCACAGACCTCATTCCAACTCTGAGATTCTGTGTGTCTAGTTGCACATTTTGTAGCCACAGTTTTTTTTCTTCTTCAAAAGAGTCAGAAAGGAGTGACTTTTGATCCTGTTCCATCCTAGGTCTAAAAGTCTTCACTTCTTTACTTCCATTTTTACTTTTTTCATTGCTGACAAGCTACATGTGAAGAATAACCAGCAATTAATATATTATTCAGATATTCACAGCCAAATCCTGTTTCTTTAGAAGTATGTTCCACTGTGCTCCCAGCTAAGAGCACATAGGTTTGCAGCCTTCGTGACTCTTTCCTCACCATTGATTTTTTTTTTGGTATTTTTGCATTTGTGTGTGTGTGCCCATGCCTGGAAGTCACGGCAACCTCTAGTGACCAATGCTCCCTCTTAGCTGTGGATTCTCATGAGCAAAAATTCTACTTTGTGAGCTACTGGCATTAAAGTTGTGAGCGAGTGATTTGCCTGCTGCAGAAATTAGTTTGCTCTAGAGCCATCCTTCCTAAGCGATGGCAAAAATGCGTGAGCCAGAGGCTAAAAAACTGAGCTCGCTCACACTAACTCAGCTTAGAGGGAGTGGCGACTCCTACTGGGGCATGGAGGACATTCAGAGAAGTGGCTTGATAGCCTACCTCTGGCCTCCTGGCCCTGGTAGTCCTTGGAGGACGCCCATCCAAGTACTTGCCTGGGTCAGCCCTGCTTACCTTCTGAGATCTGATGAGACTGGGCTTGCCTGGACTATCCAGGCCAGGTCACCATTGATTATATTATTGAAATGCTAGCAGTCTCAGACTGATAAAGTTTCTCTACAAATATGACCTCCATTAGGTAACCCCATGTGCCCAATATGTGAACTATGTTGTATGATGAGTACATAAAGGTCTGTTTTGGTCCATGTAAAGGAACTTCTGCCAAGTAATGTTTCCCAGTTCCAGTCTATAGTCATATAATGAATGGACACTCAAGTGCACAAGATAGTGTATGACTACTGTACTGGCAATTTCCTACACAAAAAAATGATATCCATATAATAAATTGGTCAAGTGTGAAGCATGGAATGTTTTCCAAATTTCCCATTTCCTCTCCTGTAATTTCAAAGGACTCGTCTTTGGAGATTAAAAAAAATATTTCCCCATTATATGTTTTACTATATTTTCCTCATACTGCCACCTTCTGGGAAAATGGATGACATCTGTACTCAAGGTTTTGACTCAATTTTGTTTTAAGGTCTTTCTGTACTTTCAGTTCAGTTCCAGTCCAGTGACTGTGGTACACAAGTAAAACATCATATGTCTTTGAACAGAAGCAAACTATGTGCTTACAAAGACTTCACCTTTTTATCACACTCTATCTGCAACAGATAATTACTGTTAATTTCAGCCCTTACTGATAATATAGTATTTGTTGTTCTCTATGCTGGTAGAGTAATTAACACAGCAATGGTGCACAACCTGGTTAAAGAGTAGATAAAAGTTTATTTAGGAACAAACATACTTGATAGGAAAGAGGAGAGACAAAGATAGGTTCCTAACTACATCTCTAGCTGAGAGAGTGAGTAAGACTGAGTGTGGCACTTCTGAGAAGAAAGAGGAAATTGCCCTAAAAGTAGCAATCTGGAGACAGACAAGGAATGACACTTAACAGGAGAAAGAAAAGGTGCTGTCCTCACTATCCTATCTAATCGTCTGTCCCCTTCAGAGTCTATTTCTCTTCTTCTTTGTACACCAGACATTGCCTTTTCCAACACTCTTAAAATATCTAACACTGCTTATACCATGGTGGCAGTGACAAAAAGCCTTGTTTGCCATAATCTCACAAGCTTTCAAATGTGCTGTGTGGCATTCTTTGCTGGATTTGGCATTAGTCTTCCACTAACAATATTCTAGTTGTCTCCCAATTCATGAGTATACCAAGGAGAAGGAGTATTACCAAGGGGAAAAAGATGGAGGAAAAAATACCATGTCTCAGACAGACATTCCAGGCCCTTTCAAGGATCTCTATGTGGTCACTTTTGGGACTCCCCAAATCTTCCAAAACACTGCAGAAACTTTAAATCTTCATCCTGCTCTATAAGAGGAAGGTTTGGTTCCAACCTTGTATTCAGTAAATAATTATCTAACCATGACATGGGTTTCAACTCAATCCTCTTAACCAGATCACCAGAAACTTGTGCAATACAGAAAAATATATGCCCTTTTCCATATGCTCAACCCAAAGCAGCCTGTGATAAGCCCTTGGCTGCCACTGAAGCCAGAAATTCCTGAGAGAGCCCAAGAAGGCAATCTCAGTGTGAATATTGTTCAGCACCATCAATATTTGTGTCCTCAACAGCAGACCCGAAGGCCCTTCCAGCAGATCAGCAAGGGAATCTGCTGGCAAGCTAGACAGACAGTATGCCAGTAAGATCTCCACCTCATTCTTGTCACCCAATACAAGGTATATATAATCAAAACTTGCAAATGTTTGCACTGAACATCTACAGGAGTTAGGAGACTCATGAAGAACTAATGCAATTCCCCCTTCAGGGCTGACTTGTTGCAGCACTGCTTCAAAGTTGAAGTGACAGTAAATAGGAATTCCTCCATCCACATTCCTTGGGATGGGTGAGAATCTAAATAAAGGGTGAGCATGAACACAACTCCCACATCTCCCATTTCACACACTTT